AGCCACTACAGTACGAGGAGTTTATGACTACTACTCGGGCACTTTTGATTATTGCTTCTTTGTGGATTTGTTCATTTGTCGTATCTTTTGTGCCACTCTTTTTAGAGTGGCATGAACTTTCAATGGAAGAAATCAAAACCATTTTCAAGGATCTTATTTCTGACAAGGTGAAGAACTCAGACGCGCACACTTTTTCTTTTGCGCTTGAACAAACGCTGGGAGATAACCGGACATCAAACCCAAAACCTGAGTGTCTTTTTGACGTACACTTTATTTATTCGGTCATTTATTCTTTGTTTTGTTTCTACATCCCGTGCCCTTTAATGCTGCGAAATTACTTACGCCTGTTCTTAATTGCTAAAAAACATCACGTCCGGATCAAGAATCTCCATCGCTTACACCAGAACCAGGGAACACAAGGCAGTAAAGCAGCCCGGACTCTCACGATCATCACAGGAACTTTCCTGGCGTGCTGGTTGCCTTTCTTTATCATCAACCCAATTGCTGCAGCAGATGAACACCTCATCCCACTGGAATGCTTCATGGTGACCATTTGGCTCCGCTATTTCAACTCATGTGTCAATCCTATCATTTATGGGACGTCCAACTCCAAATTCCGAGCAGCTTTCCAACGCCTTTTGCGCTGTCGTTCTGTAAAGTCAACAGTTAGCAGCATCTCCCCTGCCGCCTCAGTTTATAAGGCGTTTTCGTGGATACGACCCAGCCTCTTAGACGGGCCTCCAAGTGCTGTCTGTGATACAGGACAAGATGAAAACAGAAAGGGAGGTGGTTGCGTCACAACTATTCCTACAGAGTCCCATGTCATTATCAGCGAAGAAGAAATACGTGCTAACGTTATGCTGTCAGAAAGCGACACGGTATTTTCCTGAAGAAGCTATTTCTTTGGAAGTTGGCCCAGCCAATGAATCGGTAGACTGGAGAAAAATATTTTTTATTAAAAAGGGTGACAGTGGGCACAATTTCACCCAATTCAGGGAACACGAAACAGCGCATGATGTTGATAAATTTGTACGAAATATCCGGTAGATGGGAAGAACCATAACTGTTGGGTGACACACAATGTCGGGGTCTTCTTTGATTCCCACACCCCACGTTAAACAGGTTTTAAACGCATCGATTACAGTTTTCAGAGTGTCGCCGACTATCGATTAAAATTAAGCACGGGATAAACCCTCTCCTCCTTTTTCCACACACAAAAAACCCAAAACAAAACAAAAACAAAACCCCCTAAAACAACCCTAGCCAGATAAAAAATAAAATAAAGAAAACTCAAACCCTATTCGCATAGTTTTTTTGGTTTTTTAAAAAAGATTCTTTCTTGTGTATTTCTAAATGTATTCGCATGGGACCGAGAAAGGCTTGCTTAGTTGTTGCCAAAAGGACCTTTAGTGCTGATATTTTTATAGCAGAGGTGCCAACCGCAGCTGCCGGTGAACTTCTTTTAATAATGAGACTAAGATTGCATAGCCAGCGAATACAAACAGATTAAAAAAGGAGTAAGGCAAGGATGTGTTATGTCACTAGACCTCTTAAACATAATATGTGCAGAAATATAGAATATATACTTTACTTTACTTTTCCGATCCAGCGGCCATTTGGGTTCTAGCCCTTCGGTCTGTCGATATGGCAAAGAATTGACAGGTTTTAATCAGCTGTGCTTTGTCACTGTATAGAGTATTTCCGATGTCTGGGGAGGCAGGTAGGTAGGTGCTACACAGGTCGCAAAGTGCAGGGCA